GCTGCAGCTCTGCCCGGGGAGCAGGGTCTGGACAAGAGAACACAAAGGCAGAGAAACTGCAAGTGGTTCGCAGGGAAAGAGAATGTTTTCCTCAATCGGATATTAACAATGACCGCCAGCCACAGGCGGGAGGGGCCTAAAATAGATGTCTAGCGCGTGGCACAGGGCTGTCTTGCCCAGCTTTGAAAAGTCCTTCTAAGCCTATTTTCTTCAACGTTTCTGGACACCAGGGCAGGCTGCCCGCCTGCCTGCTGTCTAGCCTCCTGTGACCAGGGAGGAAGGACGGGTGACATTTCTTCTTCATTTAACTTTTTCTCCCCTTAACAAGGTGACTGGGAATCGCAAGTCAACTGCTGCTTGTCTCCTGTGATTTTGGGGGTGGGGTTGGGGCTGGATCCAGGTCATGTGTGGCCACAGCTGTTGTTAATAAACTTGCAATGATTTCATAAAAGGCTTCCAAAGAGTTGAGGATTTAGTTTCAAATTATTCCCAGATCGGCTGCAGATCACCGAGCAACACCAGACCCTAAGTCCGGGCCCCAGCTGTCCCCCTGCAACAGGAAATTGCGGGGAGGAGGGTGAGGCACAGCCCGCAGTGGCACATGCTGGGCGCTGGGGAGGTGCAGGCCGGGCAGGCTCTTGGCTGGCTTCTGCAGCCATCTCCTTGGGTCACAGAGGCCCAGCACCCAGACACCTTTCTGTCCGGAGCTCCCCCACAGGGACCTGGAGGCAGCCTGGAGTGTGGCCATGTTTTGACTCCTGTCAGGGTCAAGTGCTCAGCCTGGGGCCTGCTGGCATTTGCTGAAGATGACACATACCCACATGCTGTGTTTGCTGGACTGAGCCACACTGCCGTCCTCCTTTGTAAAGTGTCTAGTGACACCCGAACCCAATCGGGAACACCATCAGTTTGCAGCTGCCAGGCCCCCTTTCTACTATCTGCAACTTGCTCAGTGGGGAAGGGATCCAGTGCGGGTCCCAGCCCTGTGGGGGCTCTTGTGGCTCACTGGCCTCAGGGACCCAGGGGGCACCTATAGGCGAGTGCCCATATTTGAGACCTCTTGTTCCAGGGTATGGGGATCTCGAGAGGAAGGAGGCGAAATCTGGTCCAACACCTGGGCTTGTATCCAGGTTTCACCAGGTGACCTGCATGTCCGTTTCCCTCATCTGTACAACAGGAAAGTGGATCTGCCCCCCATGTCGTAAGGGAAACAAAGGTATTTAAAACAGTGACTAGAAATAAAGTGCTATGGCCAATTGTGGAAGCTGGAGGATGGGGTTCACTTACCATCTTTTTTCTAGAAGGCACATTTAAAAAGTTAAGGAAACAAACGCTGAAGCCAACAATTAGTTACTGGCCTCAAGTTTGGAGTATCTTCCTCCGGGTGGGTTTCCACCCTTTTCTCATCAGTCCTCCCTGAAATACTCTTCTGCCCCTCCATTCTTTCCCTGGCCACTGAGACAAGGGTCTGACGCAGCCTGGAGCCCTCCACACGCCTGACTACCTGGAAGACGCTGCACGTTGGTCCAGTCTGAGTGGAGGCAGACAGGTGGCTTTGTTTAAGATGCTGAGAACAATGACCTGGGGTGGAAACCCATGCTCTCACTTACTGACATAGTCTTCAGGAAGTCTCTGCATCTTTAAAACCGGGGGAACTGTTAAGAACTAAATATCCTAACACATATGGATGTCAGGTCCAATCCACGGCTGGCCTGGGAAAAATAAACATGTCTCTTCACCATTGGCCAGGAGATAATGGTACCAAACTATAAGCTGGCTGTAAAAGCCTATGGTTTTATTTGAACTGAACACACTTTAAACTCTTATATCCAAAAAACAAAGTTGGAGAAAACAATTCAGTGCAGTTTCTGGTAGCCAAAACCCAAGATCAACACCGACTCTGTTTTGTATCTAAAGAAAACACGCTGTTGGGAATTTTGCCCCACCTGTAGAATCCAGGCTGCCAGGTGACTCTTCTGAATGTGGCTTCTAGCAGTAAGACAGAGTGTGCCAGCCCCCATCACTCATGTGACCACATGGTCAAGAGAACAGTCAGCATGTCTGGATCCAGTCAAGTCCCAAGAGAACCCTTCCCCTACAGCAAGTGATGTTTGTTCATTTGTTTGCGTCGGGATCGGCTTTGCATTCTGCCCTCTAAGCCAGAAAACTGTGGTTTGCTGTGTTTGCTTCTGTTTTTTTTTTTTTCCTTTCTAAAATGACATCTTGTTTTTATAAGACTCTTGGTTGAGTGTTTTTGGCTTATTTTTGATAACCAACAGAAAGAAAGTTACTATTCACCATTTAAGCTCTCTCATACTGTAGTTAGTTCGGGTTCCCAAGCAATCTCTGGTCATTAAGGATGAAAACTCAACTTTTCTCCAAACCATGAAGGGCCAACTCCTGTGCTGACAAATGAGAGATTCTTCCTGGCTCCACTGGTTCATTAAGCGGAGAACAGGCTGGATGACAGGGCATGCTTTGTTTCCCTGAACTTCTGAATGGCTTTGTGTTCTCAGAAGCCCCAACAGATGCTGGGTTGGAATTCAATCGGTCTCCTGGTGAGAATCAAGGAAACGGGGCTGATCCCAGTTTTGATGGGAACGGGACAAATGGAACAAAATCTCTGGCTGTGGCTACCAGAGGAAATCGAAGGGGGTTGTATTTGCCTGACCTTTCTTTCCAACCTTATTTTCAGCAAATACAGAACCTTTCTCAGGGTAGAAGATGACAATTCAACAAGAAAACTAGGGGGCACTTGCATGCTATGGCACCCAAACAAAGTAACAGAACATGGGAACCTTTAGAATCAATTCCATGTGTGGGAAGAAAAGAAGGTGGCAGGAGAAGAAACAAGAACAGGGAGCAGGGAGAAAAATGAAAAGCAGCGCTGAGAACAGGCCTGACTGCAAACCACCCCCACCCCCACCCCGTGGTAACTGCCACTCTGCTGTTTTGAGACTGAAATGCAGTGGGAGGGACACTTCTCAGCAGATGCAACTGAAGAAGGATCCCAGTTCCTCACCCCATTCCTAAAGATGCTCAGGCCCCCAGTTTGCTAGTTGGATGGGACTGAGGGGTCAGCAGAACTGCCAGGTCCTGGAAGGTTTGTCTCAAAAGGCAGAGTGGGTTACCCTGCCACTGAGCACTCCGACTGCAGCTGCCCCTCCCGCCACTCAGCCAACAACAGAAGGAAGGCTCGTCCATCTATTAAAAAGTCTCCTTTTTTGGGCCGGCCAAGTGACGCGCTGGTTAGGAGTTGGCCTGGGACGCCAGCTCTGAGCAGCAGGGCCCCGGTTTGGATCCCACATGTGCCAGTGACGCTGCGCTCTCTACACCTAAGATGGTGAACAACAGCTCGACCTGGAGCTGGGCTGCCGTGAGTTGCCGGTAACGGTGTAGGCTGCAGTGGGGCTGGCCAGCAGCGGGCATGAATTTTTGTGAGCTGCCCTGAGCTGCCGTGAGTGGCCGTCCAATGGCCAGTGAGTGACTGCCTCACCCGGGAATAGCGCAATGATAATACCAACATGGGCCAGTGAAGC